TCATCCGCCCCAAAATGGCCTTGGCCAATGAGGGCAACTATCGGGAGCTGCGCTGGTTCAGCCCTTGGTCCAGGAGCCGGTGAGTGAAGTCCCGGGGGCCAGGGTGCCGAGGGGCCACTGTTGGGACACTGGTCCTGCAGGTCGGTCACATCTGGGAAGGCCCCATGCAGGACCTGGGGGTGGGTCCCTGCCCAGTTACTGGTTCTGTAGCTCTCCCGAGGGTCTGGTCTGGGCAGACGTCCAAGCACGACGGGCAAGATGCCTGCCTCCCCTGCTCCCTGCCCCTCCTCAGCACCTGCCCCTGGTCTGTTTGCGTGCTGCTGTGTCAATCACCGGAGTTTGTTACCACGTAAACGCTGGGCCTCCAAGTGAGCACACGATGCTGAATGAAAGGAGGCCGGCCCAGGCGCAGGCGCAGGCCTGCGTGAGCCCAGACCTGGGGCGTGCTTGGGCCTGGCAGGTGGATACAGCTCAAAGCTTACTAGGGGCTCCCAGGGGCTGGGGGAGGGAACCGCGGGGGCCTTCACAGGAAAGACTGGAATCAGGGGTACAAACCAGCTCACCACCACCACCACCACCACCACCTTGTCACTCCGACTCTCGGCGCCCGTCTCAGGCAGCATAAACTGTTCTTAGGGTTTCTGAGGCAGTCAGTCTCTGCAGGGGCAACCTGCCTCATCTTTCTCCGTCGGAGTGGACGGCAGATTTGAACCCCAGACCTTGTGGTTAGTGGCTCATCGAGGAGGAACCCATGGCCCCAAGGCACCCTGAGTGCCCATCCTCTAAGGAGTAGAGGGGGGCCGGCCACACAGTGGCTCTGGGCTGTGAGCAGACATGCCGCCACAGCCATGCCTTCCAACACATGATGCTGGGCTCGCCTTGGCCGCTCTTCCACGAGCAGCAGCCGGACCAGGGAGGCACGCAAGGACCCAAGGTCACAGTGGCCTGGGGGCGGGGGGATGGGGATGGAGGGAGGGTAGAACTGCCTGTGAGTTTCCAAGGCTGTAGCTGCTTAGAGGAGTAGAAGCCCTGTCTTTCTCCACAACAGTGACTGGGCTTTGGAGCTGCTGAACTGTCGGATTGCAGCCCAGTAACCACTGTGTCACCGGCTCCTCGAGTCCTGGCATACCCCGTGTGGGAAAGAACACAGCAGGGCAGCGGTGCCCAGCCCATCGCCGTGATGTTTAGGGAGCTCCCATCCATCCCCTAGGCTAGTGGTGAGGAGGGCAGGGGGAGGGGGGAGGACGTTGGGGCTGGGTAGTGGAGATGGCTGCAGAGCGTGGAGACAGTACTGACCACCACTGACCCGGACAAGTGAACAATGGGGAAACGGTCAATGTGGTTAGATGTCTTTGTGCCACACATCCGCCCGCAGGTGCACACGCACACACATACATACACATGCACCTCTCTCATCCAGCAATAACCATCAGTCCTTTTAAGTCAAGCACCACTGTATCTCAGATGCCCCTCCACAGTCACGTGTCTTCCCTTTGGCCCCAGTGGCATACGGGGGACCATCCTGGGCATCCGAGAATGTCTGCCAGCACCCCGGGCTCTACTCCCTCCGACAGACTTGGGCTAATCCCTTTCTGTGGACTCCCCATCTGTAAAGGACCTCAGGATCGGCAGAATGGAGAGTCGGTAGGTCTCCATGAGACAGGCCACCCCAGAAGCCACCCTAGTGGACAGGAGGTCACGAAGGGGCATGATGAGGGTGCCAATACAGCAGTGCCAACATAACTGTCCCACACAGGGCTGCCAGGACTCGTAGCCCATCAGCAGCCCCTAGCAGCTGTGCATCGGAGCCCTGGCAGCAAAGTCATGCGTTGGGCTTCAATCCAAAAGGTCAGCGGTTCAAATCCCCCAGCCCCTCTTGCAGCCCCCAGGGCTTTCTACTCCCATAAACAGTGACAGCCCTGGAGACGCACCGGGGCGGTCCTACGCTGTCCTGTAGGGTTGCCGTGAGTCGGCATCCACTCCCTCGCAGTGAGGGGTTTGGGGGTTTTTTTTGGAGTTCAGTAGCAGCCACAACTTGGATCAAGGATGCTACTTGGATCCCCCATGGGCAAAGGTGGCCTGTTTCCACATCATCCCCTCGGGAGGGGCACAATGCTGCCCGGAAGGACTCCGCACCAAAGAGAGGGGCGCCCGAGACAGCGGGCACATGGAGCTTGGGCACATGTCCTCTGGGTCTGCCTTACATGGTAGCGTGAGCACGCAGCCACTAGGCAGGCCCTTGACAGCAGCCCCAGTGGCTCAGTAGGTTAAGCACCAGGCTAACCTTGACATTGGCGGTTCGAACCCACCAGCCACCCAATGGGAGAGGGAAGAGGATGTCTCCTTTCACAGATTCACAGCCTAGGGTCCCATGGAACAGTTCTACTCCATCCCCAAGGGCCTCTGGGAGCCAGGATGCCCTCATCACTGGCCATCAGTGGGAGCACTAGGAAGCCCCCTCCCCCAGCCAGCACCGGTTTGGGTCTTTCTCTTGCTGCCCCTGTCACTGCCCTTCACCTGTGGTGGTCTCCCCCGCCAGGCACGTGGAAGAGTATTTTCTCCCTCGCATGATCCAGGACCTGACCAAGCAGGTGAGTGCCAGGTGGGGGCTTGCCTTCAGACCACAGGTCATAATCTGACCAATGGTGGGCATGAGGGGCAAGCCATCCTGGGACTAGGGTCACAGAAACCGCAGCTGCTGACCCTGCTGCTGAGGGGACGTGCATCACAACACCCTACGGCACCTGACAGTGGCAGGCCAGTCTGCGCCCTCTCCACAGTCCTGCGCCACCTTCGTCTCCACGGCTGTCAGTGTGTGGGAGGTACGGCCGTGGCTTCTCGTGGGGGTCCTTCTCCCTGAGCCCTCCCCTCCTCGCTGGCACGCATGCACGCCGCTCCACCACTTGGCTCGGTGCACACGGGGTGGCTTCCACAAACAGAAAATGATTCCATCACCATGTCCCTCCCTAGCTCACTCACTGACTCCTGTCCACCCTCGAGGACAGGATAGCACTGCCCCTGTGGGTTTCTGAGACCGTGGTTCTTGATGGAAGTAGGAGAGCCTCATTGCTTCTCCTGCAGAGCAGCTAGTGGTTTTGAACTGCCGACCTCGAGGCTGGCAGCCCAACCTGTAAGTTCATGCTCAGGGCAGCAGATTTAGGGGAAGGCATTCTCTCTCTGCCGGCTCTTGGCAAAGGTCCTTGTTGCTTCAGCTTCTGTGTCCTGGTTCCTTGGAGACCTCTACGTGCCTTGGCATCCCTCAGCCCCTGGATCTAGGAGGTTCTCAGCTTGGGGACCCTGGCTCTTCTTACTTGTGGTACCGAGATCCCTCTGATCTCTGCTTATGTGTTTAATCTCGTTTATGTCTCCAAAGAGATTGGCTCCGGATATATCCCAATCCTGTGGGCTGCACCCTTCCTCATTAGCCTAAGTGCTGATGACCCTCATTCGGGTCACAGAGGGAGGATTTTCAGCATGGAAAGTAATTAGGTCAGGTCACAAAATGGAAAATGATTACAGCAGATCACAGCATGAGGGTGATTACATAAGATCACAGCATGAGAGTGATTACATAAGATCACAACATGAGGGTGTTTACAG